ATAATCTTTCCCATGCCACATACCATCCTCAAGCCCATTCACAGTCACAGCCAGAGGTCATCTTCCAGGCCTATGTTAAATCTTCTCTTTAAATGCCTCTGCTGGTTCTTCTCCTCCCTAACATCAAGCTGAAGCTCTCTTTTTGTGTTCTAGGGTTTTGCTTAGGAAAGCTGTGCATTAGGTTTTATATTCAGCAGTTTACTGAGATTGTTGCTGTTGCCACCAGTCCACCACCGAGTTGCCTGTTCTGTCCCTTGAAATTTGCATAATACATACTTTCTTGTCTCAAATAAAAGTAAAAATGTTCTACCTATGACTTGCATATCTGCCTTTATAACCTAGTAAACTAACTTAACTTTCATATGGAACTGATTTCCAGCCTAAAAAGGAAATTTGTTCAGTCCTTTGTTTTGAATAGTTTTATATTAATAGCTTTATATAATTCAGTGAGATCTTAGCATCTACTTTTTGAGCAAATTAAATTTTGCCTTTTTCCATTTTTTTCCTTCTGCTGCTTTAATAAAATCTACCTACTGTATGCTCTTGAGTATTAAAGTATCTTGTCACAGAGCCTGAAAATAGTATTTCTTGTTTTAATAGCTACACTTGAATATTTAATTTACAGTTACTTAATATACATTTATTCGGTGAAATTGTCGAGCCTTCTTGAAGTGAATGTTTTCAGATATCTGCCTTGAGGCAGTACATACCAGACAAGGACAGATTACCTGGTAATTTACTTTCAGCTTAATAAAACATCCTTGGTTTTGTTTGTTTTTTAACTCTGAACATTTGATGGCAGTCATGACAGTGGTTAGTGATAGATTTCTTGGATTTAAACCAATTTCCACTGTTTCAGCAACAGGAAATTGAAAGAGTTACTGTCCAGAGTTTAGTTTTAAAGTATAGCAAAATGATTGGAGAGTGAACAGCTTGAACAAGTGAAATTACACATCAGTTTGGCCATACAGTTAATTAAAAAATAAAGAGTGAATTGGTAAAGGAAAATGTTACTCTTGAATTTAGACTGCAAAGATGTGGAGTGTGAGGGAGCACAAAAAGGAGATATGTAGATCCTGATGAAAACTGGAAACTGAAGTTTTACCCCAAACTATTTTCTTTCTGTGTAGTGTTTTTTCTTACTGAATTTTCAGTAAATTCCAAAACTATAATTTGTTTTAACTTAAACCTCATTATTTCAGTTTTGCACTGCCAAATCTACTGAGTAGAGCAAGGGAACTGGAACTGAAACTTCTGAATTAGATTTGCTCTGTGATCACCACATAGGCTTGAGTGAATCACATGAATTTCTTTCGGTTCATTTATCCCATTTAGCTTAAATTCATACTTCATGGGCACATGGGTTAGTACTTTGAGACTTCATTAATGAGTGGTTACATAAAGGGTTATTCCATTAGTTAGAGACAGTGGAGGCACATAGTGTGTTAGATATTGATTTACATGCATCTTTGGTTTCTCAGAGTATTTTGCATGATCTAGTAGCGAATTTCTGTTTACTTGAAGTCATTCTCTGATGTATCTTTTGAAAGAACATTATGCAAACCTGTAAAATAAATTGACTTGTTGTATGTGCATTTAAAATGAATTTGTCTAAATCTACTCTTGACATAAATTAAATTTGATACAAAGTCATATTTGCTCATTTTTCAGTCTCTGTCTTAATTGATACACAGTAAGCAAAATAATTTGGAGGTCTGAGTATTCACATACTATAATAAGCACTTGAAGAAATCTCTTTGAGATCTTTTTTGTCTGTAGAGTCACAACTGCTAACTAATTTAATTGTTTTTCTATTACTGCACTGTAGAAGTAAAAAGTGGAGTTGTTCTTTTAGAGAACTATAAATTCCCAAAATAATTTATAATTTGTGTTAAAACAAACAGATGAATTTATGGGTTAGTAACCTGTGCTTCTGCATAAGGTTTGACAGTTGTAACAACAACCCCCCCCTTTTTCTACCCTAGTATTTAGTTTCAAAATTCCTCTAATTTTAAGTGTAAGTCTGCATATGGATTTGATGCGATGATACAATCTTCCCATTATGGGAAAGAATTAAAATAAACTTGAAATAACAGAGTAATCTGGATGAAAGTGAAGAGGTAGCCTAGCATGAAGCCAGCTAGCAGGGCTGTCAAACCAACTACACTTGCTTCAGCCTCACTGTAGCACAGGCCTACGTGGATTTTGTGTTGGTTACCACAAGACTGATCATGCACCCTTCTGCTACATAAGCTCCTGAGTTCCTGTTTTCCTAATAGTTACTGCCTTAGGTAGTTTTTGTTTGTTTGTTTGTTTTCTGGTGCATAAGATTTTGAGGGAAAGTTACCATTTATGGAAATGAAATGGCTATTTATAAGAACCAGGTGCTTTCATAAGAAACAGAAGGGGGCTAGGATGACTTCACTGTCTCACCAAATATTAATGTTTTGGCAAATATTAATGTTTGGGCATGTATTTGTAAATGTCAATTGCACTGTGTAACACAGTAGTAACATGGTAAGAGTCAGTCCCTTAACAAAGAAAGCAGAACCAGTCCATCGTGACCCTGTCACCCCCACAGCACCTCGTCAAGTGTGACAGGGTGAACCAGCCAGACAGTGCATTAGTCACTGATATGCAATCCTAAACCACTTACAACTTAGCATTTAGAGTCCTTGCATGCAGTTGGCTTGTTAACCAAGATTTCGAGTGCCATTGCCTCCTCCTTCCACAGCAGTTTTGTTACCCTAGGACTTCAACTGTAGTTTATACTCAGACTGCCTCACCATCAGGGCCACACTCTGCTTAATAAAAATGTTCAGTTTCAATACAGTTTTGTGGCATATCATTGTGGATGGTGTAATGTTCTCTCTTCAAATGGGATAATCCACACTGGTCTTTCCTGTATTACATTTGGGTAAGTAGCTCTGTGGTCCCACCATTGTGATATCTCCATTCCTCCACACCAGTTACTAATTCTGCAAGCAGCACTTTCATTTATTATTGTTTTATTTTGAGGTGGTAGGTTATCCATCAAGAATAAAAGCTCACATCCCTAGTGGTTGTGTTAATTGCCAGTAGGATTACTAACAGAGTCTCTGTTTTATCCAGTGATGTGTTTGCACAAAATCTTTAAGAACTGTCATTGCCAGTACTTCTCCCTCTACAGCCAGTTTTGCTGAATCTTAGTACTGGGAAGAGACTGCAAACTCATGGATGCTTTTGGAGATGTTTAGACCTGCAGGTATATCCCCAATCTTTCAGCCGTGTGTGGGCATATACAGGCAGTACAATAACACAAACTTAATTTTCTTAGACAATCAAATTAAGAAACAGTGGTGACTACACTGACATGTCCTTTTGTTTTCTGTAACTCTCTTTTGCATACTATGTTGTATTTCATAGAATAAAGCAATTGGGTATTTATAGAAAATGTATTGTGGGTCCTAGTTAAAGCTTTTTGTGTCCAAATTGGTAATTGTGATACCACTGGGGAAAACCGTTTATTAACATAAATGGAGACATAGGCTTCCATTAATTTAGCTGATTGTTTTTTAAGTTACGGTTAGGGTTCTGTAGAACATTTTTCTAGTATTCAGCAAACGGGCAAAGGGATGCTGTGATCAGTGGCAATAGGCATTTTGCAAAGAAAGTCTGTGGATGAAAGACTAAAAACCTTCTGCCACATAATTCTGGGCTCCATAGTTCATCATCATCCCATTAAAAAGATTAAAGCAATAGAAGCTTTAAACCAGACCTGTCCAACAAAATGTTCAAAGGCACAGAAGTATCTTAAAACCTGATTCAAATGCACAGTGATAAACTTTCAGAGCCCCTATTTGTGATTAAACTTTCTACCTTTTTTACTTTCTACTTTAATTGGCATGTGTCTTTCTCTCATGCCAGATTTCCACTCTTTGAAAGTATAGTTAGCATTCCTCACTGTCATGGAAAGAAGCATCACTTTGTACTGTTTCATTCTTTTGTCCATAAGACACAGAATTATGTAGTGGAATTTTTTGCTTTCTGATTGGAACTACAAATTTTTGCACTTTGAGCTTTACTATTTCTTGGTGTGTCTCAGACACTACGAAGAATTTTAGACAAAATTATGAAGTTCATTGCTCCAGTATTTTGGGGAAGAGGTTGTTCCTAGAGTTACTCAGAGTCTCTAGTGTTCATGCAGTGCCCTTGAAAATTAAGTGTAGGATTCAGACTTGATTTGCATTTTGAAACTCTGTTAAACAATTTAACACTAGAGCTGAGGGAAAAAAATTCTCACTGATTGAAAAAATGGTACAATTTGTAAATTGGCTTCTTGGTTTCTATGCAAATGAAAGGAGTGAAATGTTCTTGTCTGGCTGAGTGTATTTGATATAAAAATGTTAAAATTTTACAATGATAAATAGTAGTAGACTTGTGTTTCTGGCAAGGTAATAGTGTCTGCATGCTATGTATCCCTGGAAAGCTGAAAGCCCATGCTAAAAAGTATATGCAGCATTAGACTTTGGAATGCTGCAGTGAATTTGTGCACAGGAATTTTTGGAAATAAAAAAAACCAAGTGTGTCAGTATCACCTGTGCTTCAGAGGATTTTCTTAAACCCTGCCAAGAAGGGAAATACCCAAATAGATTTTATAAGTCTGGGTAAAGAGCAAAAAGAAATCTGAAAGATAAGTAATTTACCTTGGACGTTTGAATGCCATGGAAGAACTGAACATAAATGTATAGTAGAAAATGTGAAAGGTAAGGAATGTGATCCTGTGCAATTTTTTCATACATTCCAAGACTGCTAATCTTAAAGGCTTGTTCTAAACAAATAACAGGTTCCGTACTGAGATAATCAGAGCATATCCTTGTCAACAACAACAACAAAAAATTATCAAGAAGATCTTTGTTTTTTAATGTGCATTTCTAAAAACATGCTGGTGGATTTACATTCCTTTTATGTATTCACATATGAGTATATGATTTCACTTTTTTTCATTTTCATCCTTTTAGTACGCTGAGTGTACCTTATACTCAACTAGAAGAAAATAATTTTGCTTTATCTGATGGCAGCAACCAATTGGGTAAGTTAGAACTGTTATTCTATGCAAAAATAACTTTCATTTACCAAAGGCTGACGAATCACTTCTCTAGAGTTGGGAAATGAATCAAATAAGTTTATATCACAAATGAAAATAGTGAGTTGTGTCTAATAAATTTGTAGCTCACTGACAAAAAGATAAGTTCACTGGGTCTGAAGCCAAGAGTAGTCCTACAGGGAATGTATAATGCACTGTGATATCATTTCCAGGGGTAGCATTATGAGTAAGAGGGTAGGACATACATGTATTAACAATTATGCCAATGGCTAGGAGTAGATTGAATTATAACTGCATTAAGTGTAGTAGCTGTTTTACCCTTTTTCTTTTCCTTGCAATTATTAGGAAATTATTTTATTTCAAAAGGGAACAAGAAAGAATACTACCAAACGGACATATTGTTCTGTCTTGATTATAATGAGCATTCATTGGTTGATGTGGGTAATTATCTTTTTGGAAAGTATAGATTCATTCAGTGAAATCTAGCCTGGGTCATAAAACAAATGAAACAGAAGTGTCCAGCTGAGCAATGATGACATGGTCATTTTTAAACATCTGTGCTAAAATAGATTAAGATTGATCAAAACTTTTTTTTTTTTTCTTTTTTTTTTTTTTTTTCCTCCAGTGAAGGAATTTACTAGAGTTCTGCTTATGAGTTCCTGGTTCCTGAACATTAATTAATGTAGAAAACAATGCCTTTAAGTGGCATTAAGTTATCCCAACAGAATAGTAGTGTTTAGCCCTCCTCTGCATATATTGTTTTGTGCATATGATGTCAGGTGTGCTGCTTTGCACTATGGATGACCATTATGAACAGCACTTCAGAACAGTTTGAGTTATACCCAAGACCAAAGAAGTCATAATGCATTTTATCCCTGCTGTCCATTTCCATATAGTGATTGATAAAACGTATTCTTGACAGATCTCATGACTGATGAGGTTCATTAAACTTTTGTAACTGAGAAATGATGCCTAGACTGCAAAAACGTCACTAGAGACCTCACTGTGTCCTTTCAGTACTTAAATGAAGCTTATAAAAAAGATAAAATAGAGTGACTTTTTACACAGGCAGATAGTGATAGGACAAGTGGGAATGGCTTTAAACTAAAAGAGGAGAGATTTACATTAGATATTAGGAGGAAATTCTTCACTCACAGGGTGGTGAGGCACTGGCACAGGTTGCCCAGAGAAGCTGTGGATGCCCCATCCCTCGAGGTGCTCAAGGCCAGGTTGGATGGGGCTTTGGGCAACCTGGTCTGGTGGGAGGTGTCCCTGCCTATGGCAGGGTGTTGGAATTAGATGAACTTTAAGGTCCCTTCCAACCCAAACCATTCTACGATTCTATGAAATGGGTCATAGAGCTGACACCATAAAGGCAGTATCTTAAGTAAAAGCCAGTGTGTAGAGGAGGAGGTGGCTGTGTTGGTCTGATCTGGCAGGTACCATGAGCTGTGGTACCAGGACAGCAGTGTGTGCTGCAACTGTCCTTCATCCCTGCCAGCCATGCTGCACCAGGCAGAGGGAGCCCATCTTGTGGGGGTCATCTTGGGGACACTGCAGGCACCAGGCCTGGCCTGCTGTGCCGCCCTCCAAGTCCTGCCAGCTCAAGGCACACATGGGAAGCACTGTGGCACGTCTGATCTTGATGTTGATGCCATCTGCATGGCTTCACTCCTTGCTGAGGTGGCTGTGCTTGAGGGCTGACTGCTGCATACATCCATATGCTCCATTACTTAATTGATGGAACATTACTTATGTGCTGGAATATAGATCAGTAGCTGTCGTGTGGCCTCTTTGTGCAGAAAGCTAATATTGTCCATAATTCACAATCAACATTTTTGTGTGTCTGTGTGTGTGTGCTCTTATCTTATTTCCAGATTTCGTGGTTATGCTGTGAGTGGATCTTTTAAAGCCCCTTGACAACCCTACTGAAACAAAGATGATGAATTGTCTAACATCTTTTTGTGTACTGCATGACATTCTGTTTTTCTAAATAATTTATTTGCAGAGAAATTGAGATGAAAGAATGATTCGTTTGTGTTTTTTTTTTTTTTAAACGTTCATCTTGACAATTTGTGATCTTTCAAAAAATATTTATCTTGTGTCCAAGAACAAAAACAAAAAGAGATAGGTTTTGATATTGCATCAGTAGGTTCAATCCGCTTTTATATGTTTTTAAGTAAAAAGAGATTTGAATCCTGTCTAATCAAACTTGAATCACTTCAGATGAAATGTTAGGACTCCTTCAGTTCTGGAGACAGCATAAAAGAGCTGGAGTGCAGAGTAGGTGAGAGAGGTCACCAGTGAAGCTGTCTGGAAACTCAGTATGTTAGAAAGACTACTGAGTATAACCTGTTCCACATTTGTCCCTGTTACTTCAATGTCTTGATCAGAACTCTGTACAGCCTATTTTAAATGTTTTGTGAGTCTCGATCAGTTGCTTTGCACATTTTAACAGTCATTTTGGCTTCTACAAAGTAATATGAAAATAGGAAGTTGAGATTTCTTTGAAACATGTTTGGTGATAATCAATATACTTCCATGTTGCAATACTGCTGATTGTCAAAGTGTCAGGTTGTCCTAACCATTGTTGCACTACTGTTTCATTATATTTAATGCACATCAATAACAGTTGTTATTATAGTTGTCTTTTTTTTTTTTTTTTTTTTTCCTTTCTTTTAACCAGACATCTAAGCAGAATTTCCAGTCTACAGTCTGGCTTCATTAAAATCACTGTCTTCTCTGTTTTTGGAGTCAAAGATAAAAAATGGAAGCCTTTTCTGCACATAATTCATACCCACTGAAGCATGTGTTTTAACTTTACATTCATTAAGATGATGCAAAATATTGCATTAACAGTAAATGTTGAGGCATATGTAAAACTACTCTAAGCTGCTTTGTGTCTAAGCAGTAATGGAGGAATTAACATTAGCCTTAAGGCAGGTTTTAAACTAGTGCAGCCATGATATCAGGTTGTTCATGATTCTCAGCTGCTTTGCTTCTGGGGTACTGGTTTATTCCTTTTCAGAAAAGAGCCTTACTTGTCATACATATGGTAAAAAAGGCATACATATGGTAAAAAATATTTTCTCTATATTAGCTGGTGGGTGAATCCATCAGTTAAATAAGTAAATAAATAAGTAAATAAGTAAGTAAATAACTAACTCCCCACACCTTTAGCCTGGAAAATGCTCTGAAATTCCAATAAACATTGTATGGAACCTGGCCTGGATGTATCATAAGGTTATGATAAGGATCATCTGGTTGTTGTTGATCGGCCCAACAGCAAGCTATTGAATGAGAACACCAAGTCTTAGGAAAGAGGGATGCCACAGTTTTCACTGCTGTACCTTAACAGGTTTCCTAGCATTTTGGACTTTCTTTCCTTTTTCCTCCTCTTCCTTTTTTTTTTTTTTTTTTTTTTTTCCCACCCCCAACCTTTTACTCCACTTGCACAGTATGGAAAAAGGTTGGATTTTTGAATGCACTGCTCAGCCAGAGGCACAATTAATGCATGCTCAGAAGATGTGCCCAAGGCCTGTCCTTTATGCCAGGCGGTTTTGTGATGTGTTAGTAGCATAGAAGATAAAGCAAAGCACCAAACAAAACAAAACAAAACACAAAAACCAAACAAACAAACACTTCGGTTTTTAAAAATATAAACCATCTTAGTTTTAACAATAACCACACAGAAATGTTAATAAGGAAATCTGTAGCTTCTGGAAACACAAATACCTTCAGGAATGAAATGAAAAATTGAAATTATTTTTTCTGCACACGTGTTTTAGCATATCAAGAGATTTGTTTCTCAGGAAAACACTAGACTTTGACACACTCTTATGCCCTTTGGATTTCCATTTTTCCTTCTCTTAAATTTATACCAATATCATCAACTAAAGCCCATCTTTAAACAGAATATAATCTTAATGTTATTTTCCCAAAAGTTTTACATGACTGCAGTCACCTGTCAGTTCTCCTGTGCATGCCTTGTCACAGACTGCCCCTGGCTTTCCCTGTAGAGAAGACACCTTCTGAGTTTTGTATTTCAGATAAACTTAAACTTCATTCTTCCATGTTTGGTCTCTTACTGGTTGCTCACCAAAGCTGATCTCCAAACCTGTCAGCAAACAATATTGTTCCTCAAACATTCAATGGTAACATTGCAAAGAAGAAAATGCCAAGAGTAACACTGAAGGAGGTACATCAGCTGTCAATTGAGTGGCTGTCAAGAAATCCTGCCAACATTAATAAACCAAGCTCTTCCTAAATCTCCACTCTTCTGAGCAATTAACACCAGCAGAAGATGTGTTCTAATTTAAAAAAAAAAAAAAAAGTGAAAGAAACATTCAAACCCTTGATAGTTCCATAATCTTCATCTGTTTTTGTTCCAGCTGTCTTAATTAGTTTATCTCCAGATCCCAGGATTTTCCATCTGGGATAATTAGTTTCTTAGTTTACAGGTAGGTTTCTTAGTTTACAGGTAGGTTTATAACCAAGATTAATTTTCTGCTTTTTTTGTTCAAACACCCATGTGTGCTCAACACATACCAGTGCAGTTTGTGGTGTGGACAGAAGTTCTGTCTGTCTTCAGGGAAGAGACTCAAGGAGCAAAACTAAGCATTTCAGGTATTGGTGGACTTTTAAAACCCTTTATAGTTGTCATGAGACACAGATTTTCTGTGCGCATGTGTGTCTAACAGGAAAATAATTATTAGATTACAGTTTTGAAATGAGTCTCTTAATGCTGTAGCGTACTTGTACTACGTGCAGGGTTTGTTGTTTTTTTTTTTTTTTTTTAAACTTTGAATTGAGAATTGAATTTGATTTTATGCATTGAGAATAAAACTTGATATTATATACCTTCTGTTTACAATATTATTCTCATGGGAAAAGGGCAGGGTGTGACTAATTTAAGCATTCAGTGTTTGATTTTTGTTCCTCTGAATTTATCTGAACACAGCACCAGAGAGAGACAAATACAAAAA